AATTTCCCAATTTTCACAAAATTTCGACAATTTTAAAACAAAAAAACCCAAAAAAGGGAAAAAACCCCGGGGGTTTTTGGGTGGCGGGGGAATCCAAAAGGGAAAAAGCGTTGCAGGGTTTTTCTTTTTTAAGGGGGCTTTTCAACGGGAGAAAATGGCTATGAAGAAAGGTGTTTAAAACCCTTTTTTAAATAAAAATGTTTCCAAAATAACAAAAATTTTTAAAAGGATTTTTAAATTTTAATTTTTAAATTAAATTTTTTTAAATTTTATAATAAAAAAACCTTGGGTTATTTTAAAAAATTCATAATTTTAAATTTGAAAAAAATCCGTTAAAGGGGCAAATTTTGGTTAAGATTTTCATTAATTTTTTTTAAAATTTAAAAAATTAATTGTAGAAAAATCCCCAAAAATTATTTCCCAAAGGGGGAAAAACTTTTCCGGATGGACATGTTCTTTTGGGAACTAAAGAGGCAGGGGGCCCCTTACCCGGGGCCCCCCCTGAAGTTTAAGAAACCTTGAAGATTCCCCCTTTTTTGAAAAAGGGGGAGTGAACGCCATCTTAAAGACAAGGGTTTCCTTTTTTTTGAAAAAACATTTTTTAAATATTTTGTTTCAAAATAAGTTTATTTCCCCTATAAAGTTACATGCCGCAATGTATTTATTGGAAATATTTTCGTAAAAGGGATTTTTGCATTTTCCCAACTTTAATTTGTTTCATTATGCTTCGGAAGAAAAAAAATCTTAAGATATTTTACACCATTCTTATTAACACAATTATTAAGTTAAAAAATTGTATTGAATATAGTTTTCAAGTCCAGTCACATAGCAGGCAAATAACTGTATAGAGGAAACACAAACATAACATTAAAATTAATCTAAGTGTTAGAAATATACACTTTTTAAATGATTTCTTTGTTATGTTATCAGATTTTTGGGGGATTTACTGCCTTATGATGACGCCAAAAGTTTTCAAGCATGAAGAATGCAAAACTGCTCAAAAATACATGTAAACATATTCCAATCCGTTGGGAAAATACACAGTTTGAAAGTTAAAACTAAATCACGCGAAAAAAAAGCAGCAACAACAAAAAAAAAAAAAAAAAAAAACAAACAAAAAAAACATAGTTAGATAAAAAAATTGTTTCCTCAGGAGAGAAAATGTGATTATTTTCATATTGCATGCTTTTTGTACAAATATTCATTTAAAGTTTTCATATGACAATCCAGATAGAGTAAAGACAAAAGTAGACTTCAATCAAGCACGTGCAATTTAGCAACTTAGTTAATGAAAAGGAAGTAGTTTCCACAGAAAGAGGAAGATTGTGATTGTTTTCTTTTTGTATTTAAACTTTTATGCAAAAGAAACAATCTAAGGAAATGGCAATGCACTATTTCAATACATAAACGATTTTTCAAACTATTTGTCCCGTAAAAAGGTATTATACCTTATACACAGTCTAAGAAAATGCGTAATGATATGCTTTGAACGATTTTTTCACATCTTTTGTCCCGTAAAATGATATTATACCTTACACACTTATTATATTATTTTTATAATGTTTTATCTATTTATCTTTTATAAAGGTTTCATATACATGCAAAGTACACTAATGTATCATATATCACCACAAATAACATGTAAAAAGCATTTATTCTTGTCTTAATTCTTTTGTACGTCCCTGTCCTATCCATTCAAAAGCAAAGTATAAAATAGAAAAGATTATATTAACAATTATATATAAACAAGGTCTGTTAGTTAAAGCTACATGCTTTCAGATCAGCCAAAACATTTCAAGAAAATCAAACTTGAGAAATATGTACTAAGGTTTTAAGAAAAGTAAAAAGATTCAAGAAATGATATAGTGTTATGTGCGATTATTGACTGCATTATTTATCACCATATTTTTATTGCAAGACTAATGTATTGAGGGCTATTTTTCATGTTTCGACCTGTTTTTGATAATATACGTGGATTGTAAGTGCCGCTTGCATTGTGTAAATTTTTTTTTGTTCACTTGATAATAATTTACTTTTCAAAAATTTTCAAAATGTTTTATGAAAATAAACATAAATCTGCAGAATTGCTGCTTTAAACAACATATTCTAGTGTTACTAAAATATGTTTGTTTTGTCATATATGAATACATAACTTGCTTGTTCATGTTTTCAAGAAAATGAGTGTGTAAACGTTTAAGTTATACGTTTATTATACCTGTACATATGTCATTGTACCTTACATTCATACCGGGTCAGTGCTTTATTACAATTATCATTGTGTCATAATACTTCATCATATTACATTTGAGCCGTGTCATGACAAAACCAACATAATGGGTTTGCGACCAGCATGGATCCAGACCAGCCTGCGCATCCGCGCAGTCTGATCAGGATCCATGCTGTTCGCTTACCAACCCTATTTTAAGTAGAGAAACTGATAGCGAACAGCATGGATCCAGACCAGCCTGCGCATCCGCGCAGTCTGATCAGGATCCATGCTGTTCGCTTACCAACCCTATTTTAAGTATAGAAACTGATAGCGAACAGCATGGATCCTGATCAGACTGCGCGGATGCGCAGGCTGGTCTGGATTCATGCTGGTCGCAACACACTATGTTGGTTTTGTCATGACACGGCTCATTTAAACGTTGGACATGAATTTTGATATGATATTACGTACAGAGATTCTTTTTGATAAAGTCCAACAGAGAAGACGTTTTTTATTGTCGCCGTTTCTTGACGCCGACATATACATTTAACAAGAGTAAACCATCTTGCCCAAACAGCGCCTGCCTTAAGCCCATCAAAACGCATAATTTAATAACATATGGATAACAAAATGGACGACAAAATACCTCAAAAAAGGGGCGCTTTTGGGGCAACGCCATCCGCCATGTTTTTGTCAGGTATAGAATTGAAAAAAAACTATTTTCATGTACGTAGTTGGAAACCAGATTCAAAGCTCCTACGGGGTAAACAATATATTTTATTAAAAGAAGAAAAATTAGCTCTATCGTTCGGGAGTCTTTTTCACGATTTTTTCCCCGAAAACACGACTGAACGGCGATTCCTAACATTTTTAGAAATGTTAATACTTGTTTCCATATATATAAACATTGTTATATGGTGACATAAATCATCATAAAATGAAATAATATTCTACTATATCTATCTCACGAAGAGAGATATTTACATGTCTTTAATCAAACGGTGAAAGAATGTAGTTATTTTATTAACACTTTTTCAGTCTTGCACACTCTCTTAATACGTTTTCATGTCGTGTTAAAACGCTCGTGTACAAAAATAATTATCATTTACATGACATGATAAGAAAATAAAACTTAGCCTATAGGCCTTATTATTGCATTATATTATTGTTCAAATTCCAAAATTTTGACACATAAAGATTTGTGACGTGTCTGGGTCAAAACTGTCTGTTAACAAACGAACAAACAAACAAACGTTATTATTGTTATTTTTTAAAACTATCTATTAGAATAAAATTTGGTTTCTTTACAAGTAACGGTGTCCGCAATTTCTGCGATCGCAATGTTAAACTAAAATCTAAACTAACGGCAAAGATTTTGCATAAGTAAATAAATAAAGAGAATGGAATGACGCCAAGCGGAAATGTACTATGTCTTAAATTTAAAAGCTAGAAAGATTTAGGTCATTTCAATGAACTATATTCTACGTCCTCGCTAATTAGCGAAATACAATGTCATATTGAAGGTCTCACAATGTTTGTTCCCGGGTAATCTTAAAATTAATCTATGAAATGTATATTTTAATCGTTCATTTCAGTAAAGATCAGCTGTTTTTGTGCAAAAGAATAGAAACTCGTTGAATATTCATACGTCATCAGCGCGTGCACGACATTGCTATTTATATACGACAAAAGTTATTTAACAATCGTAAACAAATATTTGAAAAAAAAAAACAAACAACAAAACAATATGAAACAGAAAGAAATCCGTGTCACCTATTCGAATGTGTTATGCCCCCTGATTATCAAAACAATCGCTACAAAGATGTTATCTCCCCCTAATTATCGACCAATAACGGCAATGAACGATGTCGCTCACGTAACGTTTCGTAACGGGTCGTTAGCCATCGGCATTTTGTTTTTGTAGATAAAACTAAAAAGTCCAGATGATTACTTTATAGTTAGAACCTATATAGATATAAGAACTGCTTTTGATATTTTGTTTAGTATTACGGTCAATATAATTATTATTATCATAAAACATTAAATTACCCTTATTTCCGTTAAGTATATAGTAATGCAGTACAATGAATTGAATTTATGTATTAAATTCAATGCAAATGCTAATTTAAAAATATGAATGAAGATGTAAAGTATAAAAATAAAAATATTTATTCAGTTCATTCTAAAATCACAGTGTATTTTATATGCATTTTTATAATGCAAGTATTACACAGAAAACAAATATATTAAAAAATACTATTAATACGAAACAAAATATTTACATCATAATCTGCATGTTGTCTATACAAATATATAATAGGCTCGCATAATATGATTATATTCAACTCGTTCAATATATATAGTATTAAATCTGCACTCATACAATATCCTCTATATATCATTAGATGCATGGCTCTATGTCAAAGACCGGTCAATAACCTTTTTGCTTGCATTAAATTACTTCTTTTATTTTCCGTCAGTAAGCAATGCTAAACCGAACACGGGATAATAAAAGTTGTTGATTTATTTGATAACCTTGATGAGGTCAAAAAAGCAGAGCCGTTTTATTGGATTGCATGAGTGACTTACAGATTTATATTTCAGATAAAATATGGTCAAATTTTTAAAGTATAAAGAGACAGAGATATAAACACACGGCAAGTTGGTATAACCACTAAAGTCGATACCTATAACTCTAGGTTATATTGGATAATGTTAAGCAATTAGAGAGGCTACAATACTATATATTTAATATTGTACCCCAGTTTTCTATTTTAGTTGTATCGTATAAATACTTCAGTGGAATTAGGCCGTATTGTATATAATAACATAAAGTAGTCCGTATAAGAATTACATTGACTTGACGCGGTTATTATATTTGTGGGATTATTGCATACGATTTTAAAGTGAAAGTAAGAAATATGTCGGATAGTGTGAAAAAATTAAGGAGGCGAGATTCCAACTTGAAAGAATGGCAAGATGGCCTTGAGTAAGTATTTACTCGTTTTATTTATTACTTGTAATTATTGTTATTAAACATATTTTTGTGTATACATATTCATCATCAATTAATATATCATAGTTGAATTACTTCACTGCAAACAAGCTTATATTTTGTGATTCTATTATGAAGGCAGTACAAATAGAATTTTAGATAAAATTTTCTCAATTTCAATAAATGAATAACTCACACTTTTCGACATCAATAAAAGATATGTCATTAAATATTATAAAATATAATTCATTAAATGGCGCATTACATTGTGTTTGACATGCATTTTTTTGTAGAAAATTTCTTTAAAACTGCATCTTTTCGGTGCATTTGTTTTGTATGAAAAAAGCTGATATTAATGCTTTAACATTGTGAGTCTTTGCGAAAAATACTTATAATCTTAACAACTTTTTTTACCTATTTAAGAAAAAATAAAGAAAATAGAATTAATAAAAAATAATAGTAATAATAATATAAAAAGTCAAATTAGATAAATAAAATAATAATTATAATAAAAATACAACCAAAAATAGAATTTAACACTTTTTGGCAACTTTATAAATTCATAAGTTCAGTTTCATTTCTGTGATATTTGATGAAGTATTAACGCATTATTTTTTCAGACCATTTTCGTTTCCCGTTGTTTTTGCAGACTCTTTAATGTTTTTCGATCAAATTTGAATCTTTTAAAAAAAGATCAGGGTTTGGTTTTTTCTAAAGTTTTAGACTAATTTTGAGTAAGACCCCTTTTTCCTGAGGCAAAAACGGGGGGCGTTTTTTGATTTTGTGCTTTTCCCGCACTTTTCTCTTACATTAAAACCCGAAAAATTAATTAATATTTTTTAAGTGTTGTTGAGTTTTAAATTTTTTTAAAATTGGGAATTTGTTAAACCACAGTTATACCCAAATACGCGGCAAATATACAAAATTAAACTACGATTTATTCTTACTTTAAAAAATTTTGTTATAAAGCGATAAATTTAAAATACTTTTTTAGATCTTTGTATACTGAAGCTTAATCATACTTGACACTCGCTGAAGGGATATTATGACATCACTATTGTTGTTGCGTGTTATTAATTGTACGTCAAGCATATAACAATGAAGCCATGCTTTAAAAAAATGAAGTCATGCTGAAAGGGTCATATTTGCCTGTTTCCTGAATTTGAAGTTGTAACGACATTGCACGAATTCGAAATGGCTAAGAAATCCGTTTTTTATTTCTTTAGAAATGCCGGTCAAACATGCGTTTAAAAGTAGCGCTGAACATGCAATGATAAAGCAAAATGTAAAGAAAGTAGTATTTTGACTTCCATACAAAAATATATATATTCACCAAAAATACATATTGCCAACAGAGCAAAATTAACAAAAGATATCTAATGTATTTGAGTATTTTTATAAAAACTGTAACAAGATATAATTAAAAAGTAATTGAGAAGTGAAACAATATGGCTTTTTTAGGCAAAAATGGACCTTTAAAGTTTCAAGTTTTACCGAAGAAGGTGCCTCGGCCCTTCGTACATTATTGCAGGCACGAATGGGCACCTTAGTTGAACTCCCTGACGGAATTTGAATCCACGGCCGGTAGGAACAAGTGATCTTACACACCTGGCCATGATTTCCTACCATCCGGAGATTCGGAGAGGTCCCACAAACTTCATCTTAGTTACATAAATGCTATGATGCAAGGAATTGCTGCAGGACATATAGTAATAGTCATTGTATAAAAACATCACAGCTTGTTCTGCAATTTGACGCTTGATTATTCAATCTTATCCCGCAGGCTCTTTAGGTGTATCCCATTTAGAAGAACAACAATTTAAACCTTCATTATCAGATTATTGATGTTTACAGTGATAAACTTATATGTCTGGTATGTTAGGTCATGTTTTTTTCAAGCACCTCTTAAACCCTGTAAAGTGAGAATTCATGCAACATTGGCTTTATATTACAATTAATTTTAATATGCCAATTTTCAACGATTACTGAAATCAATATTCGAATATTCGGTTTGTAATACATTTGTATTCGAATTTTGAATCATTCTGAATGTCGTCGTCGTCTTATTGAAATACATTTTGATATTATATATTTGTTATGCTTCATAAATCATTAAAGTAAATTTGTATTGTACTTATTCAATGCAACAATACAATGCTCACAAGAAGCTGGTAGTTTTATCTTAACTCACCTCTATTTTGTTACTTATTTCAGACAACTTCTGGCATCTGGAATGGAAGACTTTGAGGAGAAATTATTTAGCTTCTTGTGTGATCACAATGGCCTTGTTTCTATGGACAGGTTCAATAATGTAAGTTATTTTTCTCTTAAAGGTCCATTATGCATAAGAAATGATTTTATTTTCTGAAACACTATCTTATTTTTGTTGTTCTGTTAGAATTTCACATTCAGCACTACTTTCTTCAGGTGTTTAGTAGGCCTATATAACATGCTTAAAAAATCATTATTCATACATTATACATGTATTAGACATATTTGCCTTTTATAAAAACACATTTTTTTCTCGTTTCTGAGGCATACTGCGCCTTTAAAGTTATAAATTTCAATTGTATATTGAAATATCCAATAGCCGGATACCAGCATATCATTTTGCCATCGTACGATCCCCCCCCAAAAAAAAAACAACAAAAAAACCCGGCACCTTTCAAGTATTTTTCTGTTCTTCGGGCACATGTTAAAAGTACAAAAATGTATTTGTTTCTATGATAGAGAAAATGAGGCGGACGAAATACGTGTAAAAGTTACACTTTTCTGACAATATTACGTCATAAATCATACTTGGCGTAACATCTCATTCATCTTTCATACGCAAATTTTGTGGTAAAGTGTTTAAATAGTTGACCTGTCGTTGTAAATTATAGGTCCAATATAGGACGCATACAAACATGTTTACTGAAAAACATGTTTACAATTTCTAAAGGATTTTAGAGACCAGAAATTCGATCACATTCAAGTTGTTAGATGATACTTTTAACCGTTCGGTGTACTGTTTGTTAGTATATCTTTAAAATTTGGGTCTGTTTGTTTTGACTTGGGGATGATGGACCAAGACCGATCCAGGAGTCAGAGTGAGGCACGCCTTAAACGCGTCCTTTCTAAGCTCGATAAGCGTCACAAAAGAGTAGAATTCGCTTCTTAATAAAAAAAAATCATGACAAGATCGTTTTGACAAATAAAATTTACTGAAAAGTTTGGAATTTTAGTCAGAAATAGTATGCACATAATATGCAAAATATATATATCTCATCTAAATACATGCACCTAAACACCTTAACATAGCTTGATTATTTACTTGAACACCTACAGCTTCTCGAAGAGACTGGTTTACGGGGGACAGATTTTCGTTTAAAAGAAACGATGACAAAGTTCCGGGCGGTTCTAGAGAGGCAACTGCATAATGAAAATGAACTGAGAGGATTGGTGGACAAAGAAATATTCCTCGAGTAAGATAAAAAGTGTAAATTTAAATGTAATTTTAAAAAAACTAAAGAAGATTTTTTATTTATTAGAAAAATTAAGACTTATTCATGCTAACCTTTCAAAGGTATAAATATATAAAGCTGCTTAGATGTAATAGACAGAAAGTTTGTGAGTTTTCTGATTAAAGGTCATACAAACGTTCCAATATAAATGCCGACACCATCGATAAACGTACAAAACTAGGCAGTTAGTTATACATGTATATTATTAGTGTCAATATGCTTTCTAATTGGCAAAGGGTAATAACAGTGACATTTCTCTAGATATGAGCCAAATCATTGGAAAAAATATTCCTGGCCAGTTTTTTAAACAAATTTTTATAATCAAAATACATGAATAAATTGAGACCAGAGGATGAATGTGACAAATTATCTTTCAGCTGCGTGTCCGACAACATTGTTGTTATATCAAAAGCACTGACCAGCCAGTTTGTGATACCGGAGTTCAAGCCTTTTACAGACATTATAGATAAAATATTCGAGTCGTGTAAAGAAAATCTCCTCGGTCTGGTGAGAATCTGTTATTCTTGAATTTGCTATCATTCAATACTTATAATAGAAAAAATCCGATTGCCATATGAATAGAACAGAAGGTTTAAATCGTCATATGCATGGTACAACATATAGACATATATAAGCTGTTAGTTTTAGCACATTCATCTACTTTTGTTTATATCCCTTTTCATAAAATAATTTAAAGAAAACATTTGAGCCGCGTCACGACAAAACCAACATAATATGTTTGCAACTAGCATGGATCCACGCAGTCTGATCAGGATCCATGCTGTTTGCTAACAGACCCTATAACAAGTGGAGAAACTGATAGCGAACAGCATGGATCCTAATCAGACTGCGCGGATCCATGCTGGTTGCAAACCCATTATGTTGGTTTTGTCATGACGCAGCTCATTTAATAACATTTTCAGAGGAGCTACAATGCTCACCAAGAAGCCGTGTTAAATTACGAAATAATCTACGCACGGGGCAATCATTTTTTATAATCTTTAGCTACATGTGTTTATTATAAAATGTTTTAACTCAGAATCTTGTCTACAGGTGCCAAGTGTCTGGTTTATAGATGCAATGGATTATTATCTGTATAAACGAATTAATATACATTTCATTAAAAACTCGATAAAACTTACCGGGTTGTTGTCATTTATTCTAACTAGCCTGCTCAATATATACCACAACTTGCACGGGGAAATCCGAAACACTGGGGCGTCTCAATTTGTACAGTAGATGGCCAAAGGTATAAACAATTTTTTTCATATATTCGTTATGTAATACAAATGGTATAAAAAGGAATATGTTGTGTATTAAGTTTTTTTTTCTTACAAAATACGTAAAATGTTACCTAACTTAAAATATATATATGAAAAAATCCGATTAAACTGGTAAATTTCAATATTACAATTACTTTGTTTTCCGATAAAGATTATAATGGTCGTGCATCAAATAAATTGTAATTAATAAATGTTTTAAAGGTAATATTTATATTGAAAATCAGGTCCTAAGCTTAAAAATATTTAAAGTATCTGTTGATACACAGTGTTTAAAATATACATCAACTTGCCCCTCACTATTGTGGGTTTAAATCCCAACATGGACTGTGTTCTTTCTTGAGCTAGCTTACGAAACATCAGTGCTTCTACTCAGGTGCCCGCCTGTGCTTGAAATAATACACGGAAGGGCATCTGATGTCTTCCTCCATCAGTAAAGCTGGAACGCCGCCATATGACATATACTGTGTCGGTGTGACGTAAAACCCAATCAAACAAACAAACAATTAAAATATGTACATGCACTTTCATTTTTATTGCAGATATGACTTAGGAGATACGAACATACCATTTTGTCTGCAGTCTGTTGTAAAACCATTGAACTACGCTTTGACGTTAAATGATCTATCCCCAGACGTGGTCCACAAATACGTGGGTCAGGAACCCAGTGGGAGATCATTCAACGAGCTAACACTCGATTATCAACGTATGTTTATGTTTATTTTTACCGGCGTGGTATTAGCCGGATGAATTTCAATTCAACATGTCAGTGACCGCAATCTACAATAGATTATTATGTAGAATTATTAAAGCTTCATGATTTGGTTATTGAAATAAAACAATCCTTATTGAGTTTTTGTCTTACAAAGGATAAAGGTTAAAACATATACCTTTTTATTACACATTTTGAAAGGTTGCCTAAATATATTGTTGCTACAAAACATTCTCTGTCAAATCTTATATCTCTATAATAATTATAATCACCCTTAAAACGGACTCCACTAAGCTGTTTTGACATGAATGGACCACATATATTTTTTTCAAGATTTTTATATAACTGGATGCAGATCTGGACCAATAACTCGGGTACAAAATTTTAGATCATTTTCTCACTTCATTTCCCTGGAATAATAAATTGTTTAAGCAAACTAACCCCAAATGTTAAATCGTTGCAACGCTTTTCACAAAAAAAATCAGCCTGAAAGACTTAGCTTATACAAAATCGGTTACTAATTTGATACCGGGTGTATTTATACATTATCTGTTTCTGTTAGTTACCGTTTAATTGCAACAGTTGATTTAAGGAAGATTTTCAAATGTAATGATTTTAGGCCGTTAGACCTCTTTGATATATACTGCTCATCGGTTTACTCAATATTATGATAATGTTTCTGAGTAATTATTTTCTTACGTTACCTAACGTCAGAAGAAAAATAGTTTTCGCTAAAAGTGAGTATTCATGTTTTTTTTATTTTCAGATAAGCCCCACAATCCAATGATTAATGCAGGCGCTATTGTGATTTCTTCATTGCTAAAGAAGGGATTGGTTATTGCTGATAGATTTGATTACGTGAGTTTATGATATCTCATTATTTGAATTTTTGAATTCATGTACAAAATGTATATAAAGTCTAAAATGCAGTTGCTTTTTTGCATATTCATCACGCTTTAGACTTGTAAACGTATCAAACTGTTGCAAATGTAACATCTACAACACAATGTAGTTAAATGTATTTTGTCGTCTTTTAACACTTGTTAATTTCTAATGATGGTGATATTTCTGCCATGTACGTGTAGTATGAAAACACTAACATAGCAATTATTTTGAAGAAAAAGCATTTGTTCCATTTCATTGTTACGAGCAAATGTAGCAAAAGCAAAAAGTAGTTATAACTATTTATGAAAACGCTCTGGGCTTTATATTTAGCTTTACCATTGAACATTTAAGAAATCTGATTCTTTTGATAAATTTTTGGAGGAAAGGAAATACGTATTTCTTTATTGTAAATGCGGCACCAATGTTAAGAGGATCACAAACACTTTTTCACCTATAGAATATACATCATAAACATTATAGTTTATCAGAAATGCTTGTGTAGATCCAGGCTTTACCATACATTTCGGAGAATAGGGAAACTTTTTCTTTGTAGACACCAAAAAATGATGAGCCTGATTTGCGATTTGTAGAGAAGGTAAAGTATGCTGGGAGATTGTCAACGACGCTGATGACGTCATGATTATTGATAAAGTGGCTCAATAAAATCATCACTTTTAGATAGATACATACCATGAAATCATTGCATTGTCTTAAAGATATTGATCTCTTTTCTTGAGTGTTTTGTTTTCATTAGACAAATATTGAAGTGAGAAAGTGATTAATTTCATATGAAATTATAAATACAATGTTGTATACATTGCATTCAAAACATATTTGATTTTATCTTTATGCAAAATATGACCGAAATTAGAAGCATACAACTAAAGTATAGCAGTCTTGATATCAAATATCTTTTAGTCATATGACCTGACCACAATTTTGGATAAATCAAATTAAAATCAAAATATGTCTTGATTGGACATGCAAGAACGTCATTAAAGCTTGGACTCCGCACGAAACCTTGCATGACAAGAGAAGTTCACTGATAAATGACCAAATATGAAATCAGTTCAGATAGCTGTAATGGCAATAAAGGCGATTTTATGGCCAGTAGAATTGTTTTGTTTGTGTATAAATATCAAAAGTATTCTTCCGCAGGCAATGGATGAGTTACGTCGGTTAGCAGGTCAGGAACACGTTTCTTTCAATAATTCAGTGTGAGTTTTTATTAGTTCTTATTTTATTGTTGAGTTTATGCTAGGCATAACGGAAAAAATGGTTTTTGACTTGACTTGACTTGGAAAACTACTTGAGAATGAATTAACACCGAAGCGACAGCGACGATAATCAAATTATGTAAAATAGAGAAAATAAGAATAACGAAAGTCCAATAGGACAAAATTGAAAATGATGCAGGCTTGGTTTGATTGAGCCTGTTCATGGACGGTACTGTAAAGTGCGAACTTCACACATATCTGTAACCCACATACATTGTATTGAAGGCCGACTTGCACATACATGAAAACCTATCAGCTATTTACCTCAGATCACTAGTTTTATCTTTAGTTTTATCTTGAACTCTTTGATCTCTTGAAAAGTAACATTTTATAGCTTTAAGGTAAACAGATCAAATCAACTCTCAGTTTTCTTGAATTTTAATGACACTGGTTATCGAAATATCTCGGTTATTGATTTTGAGTTTATATATTGAAATAGAGACCGAATAATGTTATGTTAGTAATTATTAAATTGCATCTCCTCTGTTCTTCTAACATTAAATTTACCTATTGTCTGGCGTCTTTGATTTCAGTTACCTATCTGAGAGAGCTACAGCTGACAGAAATTTTGCTTTGGGTTATTACATGAGAGAAAACAATGTATGATATTGTAGTGTAAATTTTATTTTCTATTTGTCTCTTTCTGCAAGTAAAGTAGTTAATATCATATCGAAACAAATGTGGAGATAAAGTTGTCAAGAGTTGAGTTGCATGTCTTTAACAACTTCGTTGTTTTTTCCTTAAATACTTTGCAATCATCCGATGTAATAACGATTAATCCATCGTCTTTTCTATTATATGCGTACCATGGTTTGTATTTCAATGATTTGTTAAACGATTTTTCACTTGATATGTTTTCAGTGTTTTCCTCCAGAAGCAGATCTTGTTGAAACTCTCGAATTCTACTTTCAAGTAAGTTGTTAGTACGTTGTTCATTGGAATAAGTATCAGACATTCTAAAACTTCGATTACCAAAACCTATGATGATGTAAAAGACAGCATAATCAATTTTTGATACAAATTTATTGTATTTTTTCATTTTATATACATTGCTTGTTTATTTCATTGTTTGACAGTAATAAATCAATTCATTTTTTGTCTTTAGCTGTGCTCCATAGAAGTTACAGCACAATCCGGTGCTGTTATAGCCGCCACTCTGGCTAACGGTGGGATTTGCCCTACAACTGGAGACAACGTGCTCGATCCTCAGGCTGTACAGAACACATTGTCACTAATGCATTCCTGTGGCATGTATGATTATTCCGGACAATTTGCATTTAAGGTAAGCAATTATTTTTGCATGCAATGACTACCGTAATGTCAAGTACCATTGTATAATTTTTAAAATCACAGAACAAAATGATGCACCGGTATAATAATCCACTTAATGAATACATGTGTTTCTTTTTCAATCACAAAGATAGTCTGCGATTGTCTGGTTGAATATTTCAAGTTACGTTTTATCTGTACATTTCACAAGTTACTTTGTTGCTATACAACAACTTTGAGCCATCCAGATCAATGCCTTACCTGCACAGTTTATTTCTGACAGTTTATCCTAAGTTGATTTCAACGTACAAAATGTAAAATAATCTTCATATTTTAGGTTGGGCTACCTGCAAAGTCTGGGGTAGCTGGAGGTGTATTGTTGGTGATTCCCAATGTAATGGGGATCTTCACCTGGTCCCCACCGCTAGATCAGTGGGGAAACAGCAGTAGAGGGGTACAGTTCTGTGAGGTAGGAACGATTGAATACAAAATGTGTGATATGTTCGAATACTAGTAACTCTAAATAATATAAAGTTCTCTTATTTTGACGATAGCTTTTTTGGAAACGCATGTGGTACCAACTGCATCGTTGCTTGTTATTTGTTTTATATCACATATCCATTTAAGTGTAATATTCATAAAGATTTTATTTCTATATACAACTGGCTGTGCTTTTCAAAAAGATGTCCGCTATTCTGTATTTAAAGACACTACATGCATGAACATGAAGGTGAATGTTGGATATTTTGATGGCTTTCTTTCAAGGTGAAATTCGGATATTTATGATGGTATTCTTGCAATAACATTTATCTGATTATTTTTTCAGGAACTAGTAGAAAATTTCAATTTCCACAACTATGACAATTTGAAACACACCAATAAGAAGTATGATCCCCGAGGTCGTGCAGTGGAGTCCAAGGCGCAAGATGTTGTCAATTTACTCTTCAGTGCTTACAATGGTGACGTCACTGCCATGAGAAGGTGATAATCTCTTTCAAATATATCAAGTCCGAATAGCATATTATATACAATGCAGCAGATATAAAGTGTTTCTTCAATACAAATGCTATTTCGCTAAATATTCAATTCCATGTAATGCATCATACGTTACATATTCACTGACATAAACTCTATAAAATGCAGTTGTTCTATAAAAAGATTATTTATTGTTTTAATTGTGTCATATATTCTGTTACCAGGTATGCTTTGCTCGGCATGGATATGTCTTTGGCAGACTATGACGGTAGAACGGCTCTCCATCTTGGGGCAGCTGAAGGTCACGAACCAATTGTCCGATTCCTGGTTGAAAAATGCAAAGTGAATGCTCATCTGAAGGACAGGTAAATCTCTCTTTTTAACCATATGTCTTAACATTGTCTTGTATATATGTAAGTTTGGCTAAGTAAACACAATAATGATATCTTTACATGTTGTTTCTACTATACATCTAGATGACAGTTTCTCTTTATCACTGTAAAGATCAATATGAAGAGTGTCCTTTGTAGAATTATCTATTTTGTGTGATATGAGGAACTCTTTATTTTTAAAGATTGTTTTTCAAACAATTTTTAAAAATCATTTTCATAAATTATATTTATAACTAATTGTCTACAAATAAAGAAGTGTTTTTTCCTTATGCATTGACAGAGCGATGTGTTAATTTCAATTTATGATAAGTTGTTGGTCTACGGTTTTTTTCCCCACTCTAAATTTGAATTATAAAACATAAGTATATCTTGGCTAATATGTATGAAACGTTTATATTTTATAGATGGGATTTCACGGCTTATGATGACGCCAAACGATTCAAGCATGACAACATCGCAGAAATTCTTGCAGATTATATGAAAACAAATCCGAAACCAGCAGATGGAAAATCTTTTTCTTCTTCTGTTCAGGAAGTCAACACATTCATGTCCAAATTAACCACATAGAATTTGTTAAGCATATTATCTCTCTGAAAGAGGAAAATGGGCCAATGTTATACACGATGTATGCGTTCGACAATTGAGTCGTGTCGCGACAAAACCAACATAATGGCTTTGCGACCAGCATGGATCCAGACCAGCCTCCGCATCCGCGCAGTCTGATCAGGATCCATGCTGTTCGCTATCAGTTTCTTTACTTGTTATAGGGTCTGTAAGCGAACAGCATGGATCCTGATCAGACTGCGCGGAAGCGCAGGCTGGTCTGGATCCATGCTAGTCGCAAAGCCATTATGTTGGTTTTGTCTTGACGTGGCACAATTATATCTGTACAAAAAGTTGCATACCAAAGATACTTTCAAAGATGTTATTGTGGGCATTTGTCCTTACATTTTAATGGATGTTTATTCTGTTACTGTTTCTAGTGGGCAAGAGCTTTAACGAGATTGACATACCAAAAACTGTGGTATGTTTCAGTGCCATTCATAGGGCTAAAATATACATTAATATTTTATCTTTTATGTACTATCCATATATATGATGTGTTTCATATGGTTGTTAAAAGGTTGATGGTCATCTCATTTGTACATATTATCGTGCTTTTTTTGGTCATTGCTTTTTTAACATCGCTAAATAACTGCACATTGACAGTTTTGTTGAATATGTTAAGAGGGAAAATAATTCCAGCCTCCTTTGACATGTAAGTTGAAGGAGGAGGATTAGATTAAATTCGAATTGCATTCCAAAGCAGTAAGAGTTTATTCATAATTTCGGATTACGCATTTTACAAATGATAACTATGGATTTTAGACTTTACAACGCTTAAAGTGACATTATGCTCATTTTTCCATAGTCAAGTTGATCAGAATTGACTTTATTTTTCAAAAGTTTGACTGTCATAATGATGACTGACCAATAGTTTGTTAATGGAAAACGTTCAGGTTCAAATATAAATCTAATCAAAATTTCAAAAGACTGCCCCACTCTTTTTATAAATTGACTGTTACAGTTTAATTTCGTAACATATTTACATATATTTTATTTGCGACATGTGAGTTATTTATCATTTTTACGGAGAAAGTTGAAAAATTGAGGTAAAATGAAAACTTTTTTTGACTTTCAATAGTTCAATCACTACATACTCTAGGATGGGCATCATGTCACTTAATTGCCAGTTAGTAAGCTATTTGTACATTTTGTATCATATAGAAGAATCGTTTATGCCATACCAATGAAACTGTTTTTGATTCAATATATATATATATAAAATTATATAATTTGTACAAAGTTCTATAAATCATGTTTTTTTCAAATATATTTTGTATTCATATATAAAACATATAGATTCTATTTTTCATAAAAAGCAATAAAATCAATATAATTTTATACAGTTTTGTTCTTTTTGTCTACTCCTAATTCAATCCGTTGTGGAACTCAATGAGCAAATCAATTGTTCATTTTTCTGCTTTTTACCCCGATTTTAAACACTTTTTTTGGTCATATCTTGACGACCATTCCACCCATTTTACTTGCTTACCTGGATAGGTAATAACAAATTTCTCCACTAAGTCAACATAATTTCTAACACAGAAGTGAGAGATAGTCTTAATGCAAGAGATCCTTTGTCGGGGTGAAAATATATCGCGTCCGAAGATCGAACCAACGACCACTTCACCTCCCTGGATTACTATTCCGATGGTCTCACTATCGAGCTAAGCGGAAAAAATCAAATTAGGAGACAAAATAATATGCATAGGACATAAACAATATATGAAACCAAAGTAATATCTGACGGGATAATTTAATAAACACATTGTTATTCATGTATATTATATACTTTTATTTATATGTTTCCATGATTTATTACCTTGACTATTTTGTCATGATGTCTTTTCTAACACGTCGTAAAAGGTAAGATAGATATAATTATATGATAGGAAACTGAGAATTTCTTTGTCACTTTAGATCATAACATAATTATGACATAAATCATAATGAAAATGACAATATAGTTTACTTTTTTATTTATGGGATGGAAAGAAGACATTTATAAATTTCCGGTCAGGAATGTCTACGCCATTTTTGACCTACTCTTAATCCTTGATGTATATAAAAAGTGACATAATATAACGCTCGAATGATATAAAGTTGAAATAATATAACGCTTGAAAAATAAAGACATTGAAATAATTAAACGCTTGAAAAATAAAGGAATTAAAATAACATAACGCTCAAGTAAAAGAAATTAAATGAACAGTGCATCATATTTCAAATACATATTTTTTTCAGCATTTTTAAACTAGTAAAATATGAAGACGGAGGAATTGTTACAGATAGATCCGATCAACTTCAAGAGAAATAACACAAAATATTGTCATAAATGTTTTACTAAAAGCAATATGAACTTGGTATCACATAAAGTAGTTTATTTTTTCTATTATATATAAATTTTAACTTAACGTTTTAAATATCGGGTGATTTAGAATAAAACACATATTTCAGTTGTTAGTACCACATTAATCTGTTCTGTTGATAAAGTATTGTTGCGTTAAAAAGTATTGCCAGAAGATTAACACATGAACCTCTTGAATTAATGGTTATTTACCATAAATTAGTTCTAGTATTCACGAATAATAACAACGCTCCAAGCTACATTACATCGTAAATAACAATAATGGTGGGTTTTCTCTCAAACTGGAAATTATATCTATAAAACTGTTGTTTCCATTATAACGAAAATAAGACAGGGGGAAAACACAACAAATAAAACCGCTTGAATTCTGCTTTTCTAAATTCGAATTTCAAAAAACGTGATAAAAGAAGGATGGATGACCTTTGCCACATTTCAATTTTAGAACAGGAGTTTGCTTCCACAAATGCGAGAAAGGTCCGGCGCAAAAGCAACAACAACAACAACAATTTTTATATGAGAAATTATTTCCAATATTTCACATTTGTATCATAAAGATACAAATGTGTCAGCAAAAATCCTTCACAGAAATTGATTCGAAATCTCAATCACTTCGGCACGATATGGCCATTTATGTGTTGACGTGCCGTAAAATCCAAACAAACAAACTCAATCATCGGCTTACAAACAAATGAACGGAACGCTGTAGACCACCGATAAAAAAAATCGATTTCCTGATGCATTTGTCAGACGGTGTATGGTAGGGTGTGCACTTGTATATAAGACAGCACAGGCAATTTTTGTGTTGAAAGTGCTTGCAATAAAAATTGTTATTTCACACATTCAATATAATTTAGTTTTAAGTTAACCATGAGTGTCTTGCTGACAGCTGAAGCTCCACATGTTACCCAAGTGCAAACAGAAATCGGCCAACATGTTCATGCCGTTTGATTTTCGGTTATTAGTCAGCACACATTTCGGAAACTTGTCGACTTGTCCATTTAATAAGACATTCAGTTTGGCAAGGTTAAAGCAATTTTTGAAAGAGTAAAGTTTAACTATTATTCTTAAAACGATTTTAGATAAAAGGAATGCGGCGTCTTGTTGACGTTTTAACTATAACTTTAAAATCTTTTGTTCGAACCACCCCAAGTTTAAAGATTTAGTTCATTTTGATATACTAGATATAACTACCCCGGTTGTTTTGCGAATACTAATATATAGTTCAAGGTTAAACAAAGTTGATACACTGCCAATTTTACAAACTATAAACGAAATGTTATACTATGAATATTCCTTATAAAATAGAATAGAGTTTATAGCTATAAAATGGCGAGTCTGTGGTAAATTGTGTTTGTTCAAATTATGTGATATTTACACCACTCAACTTCACCCCCTTGTAATTAACAGTCCTCTTTGTAGGGTACAAACACAATCAAGTAAATAACAACTTTTATGGAGGTTTTAAAACACAAACGGGTCATTCTTATGCGTAACAATGTCAACAATTAATTGTAGATTTAGATATAATTAACGAAATTTAAGTAAATATTTTGGTATATAAAGAACAGATCGTTGGGTAATTTCTTATTCAATTTGATATTTATTATTAAAGAACTAAATCTAAGGCCATAAAAATGCTATTTTTTCATTTCTCATAAAAAAAATAAATAAATAAATAAATAAATAAAAATAATAATAAAAAAATAAATAAAATTGATGCCCTGTTACAATATCTAAAAATGTATTCATTGGCCACGTACATGGTGTTGAATCATATGTTGCTCCTTTTGAATATTTTTGCATACATATATAGCGATTTAATATTGTAAGGGCCCGGAGTAAAAATACCACATAGCTTTTTCTTTGCAAATAGTTCGTATTTCGCGCTACTTAACTGAAATGTTTTAAATCTATTATAAAAATACTGGTTTTCATCTTCTTAAAACAATAAAAGAAATATAAATGATTTATTTTTGATGCATATAAATGACCTTTAAGAATGCATGTTAAACCGATAAGCCTTTTGCCATAAATATAGATCCATGTCGTCCAGCACATTTATCTGAACTGGCTCTCTACTGTTGGCTGAGTAACTTTTAATTTTCATCTTGAACTTCCCGAAATTGAAAATGGCTGCAGTTCATCAGAGCTGGACAAGTTCGCGGGCTAATGGTTCATAAAGTCCAAAATTTTCCATAGTTTTACAATGCCGCTTCTTAACGAGCTTCAAGTCAATGTTCTTTACACGCGTTAGTTCATCTATTCACGTACTATTTTGACCCAGTTCATGGTCAGTCAATTTGTTGTATTTAATCTCGTTGTGAACAATGCATGAACGGTAAACTTAAACATCTGTCTGAGTTATAACATTCATACACATTTTTTCTATATATTCTGTTGGAATTTAGAACGTGAAACATGGCATTAAACCGAGCCGATAAGCTCATAACGTAAGTACCATTCTTTTCCTCATTTTGTGTTAAACAATAACACCTGAATCAGCTGATAGATAACCATGTAACTAGTGCATACAAAGATCATCCAACACATCCGTGCCATTTGATCATGATGTGCACTGCCAGTACATATTTGAAATGTGCACTAAAATGATGAAATAGTTTTGCCTAGATTTAACGATGGACAATTCCATTTTGAGTAATCGCATACGCATATTGAACTCTTTCTTTGACCTTTGTCCTTGAAATCTAATAGTGTAAAAAGTCGTTTATTTTATTCACCTTCCTTGTCTCTAGCTTATATTACGATTACAAAATAAGTCTGTTA